GGCCCCCCCCCCCTCTCCCACCCCCGTTTCGTCCCCGGTGGCGGCCTTGATATCTTTGGAAGTCCTGTTCTTGCTGGTGGTGCTCGTCGTGGAGACGCCGAAAGCGATCTTCAGGTCGCTCAACCAGTCCGTCGTTTCTCCTCCCGCCGCCGCCGCCGCCGCCGCCGCCGATGGTTTATTCTTCGGCGAACCCAAGGAAGACTCCGGCAGGGTTATCGACAGCGAGTCCTTCGCCCGCCGCCCTTGTTTCGCGCTAGCATCCGCGTCTCCACCTTTGCCGTCCGCCTCCGCACCGTCCTTCTCCCCCGCCTTCGCGGCGACGTCGCCGACGCCGATGCCGCCCTGGAGGGCCCGCGGTGACGGAGCGGTGGCCGTCATGGTTGTCGCCCTCCTCGCTCGCTTCGCCTTCGCGGCGGCGGCGGCGGCTGCCGCCGAGGCGGCCTTGTACTGCTTCTTGCTGTTGCTGACCTTGACGCTACTGCTGTTGCTGGATGCCGCGGCGGTCACCCCGAACAGAGTGTCGTCCTGCTGAAGCCTGCTCGCGGTGTTTTGGAGCCTTGGCGTGTGTATGTGTGTGTGTTCGGGCGGCGAAGCGAGAGCCAGAGCGAAAAATTAGAAGCCCATACAGGAGAAGGGCAAAACGAGAGAGCGCCCACACAGCATATTATTTGCCCAGGTACAGGCAAATCGCGAAAAGCGGGGAGGCTTACGTTAGGGAAAACACGAAGAGATGGCGGGCAGCTCGGAAAAACGTTCTACCGTGCCACGCGATCACAGACATTTCCGCAGACATCATCATACACACACTACATGTACCCTACCCCCACCCAATGCCAGGCTAATACGGTCTCCGTTACATCACTGTAGGTGGACTCTTACAACAAACTGCTAGCATACACAATTGAATGCGTATGCGCCGTGTTCCTTCCTACCAGGGTGCAACAACACAACGCCCACCAAGCAATGTACAAATGGCATCACAACATATTCCTCTAAACCTTCCCAGCACAACATAAAGTCCGATGCACAAGATGGCCGCCGACCTATCTTGTAGAGTCTGTTACCCGCAAGGGAGATACCGCGTTATGCTGCTTGGGGAACCGTAGAAACACAGGTAGTGCTCCGCTAACGCTATGAAATGATGACCAATCCTAGACCACTTTCAAAGGATATATAAGGATTCATTGTCACAAAACAAGGAAAAAAAAAAGAAATAAAGGCAGGAGGATCGAAGGGGTGATGTGTACATGTACATGGGGGCTGACATGCGCGAGGAAAGCCGTTTTGTTCCGCTGTTTCCTGGGCCCAGCCAATAAATCCCAGGGGAGGGGGCATGCGGGCGGGGAAAACATGCGCACGCCGCTTTGATAGACGCCCGTACCCATCGTAAAGCCGCGAAGACAAACCCTTACGAACAAAAAAATAAAATAATAGGAAAGGCGACGTAAACAAAGCGCGCGTTTCAAGGGTACGAGGGCAGTGAAAAACGCGGCAGACCCAGCCATGCGACTCCTGCTGCCCACCTCGCGAGCTGAGAGATGCAGCGCAGCACCAACCCCCAGCTCTCCTTCAGAAGGTTGCCCTCCGTCAACGCCAGCGACAGCAGCACCTTCGCGCAACGGACGTTCTTGTCCTTCATGTGACGAGATGCGTCTAGGAGGGTGAAGCGGACCAGCGCGTTAAGCAGCGTCTCGCGGGCGACCTTACGAGCAAGGGTCACGTGGGGGGGAGGGGGGGAAAGAAGGGGCGGATTAGTCGGCACGTTTGGTAGGGACCGGAAGCATTGGGACAAGCTTCGCCATATATGCTCTGCCTAGAACCAAAAACAAAATTGGAAAAGTACTGAATAAAACACCCCACCATGAATGGTGTTCGAGTAGATCATGTTGTGCGGGGTCGAGAAGCCTCATTCCGCGCAAAGGGAATAATCGCACGTTGTGTTAAATTGGTCAAGCACCCTCGAGGCAGTTACACAGCGCTTACAACTGTCTCTGGAAGTGCAAGCGCCAGAAAAAAAATTAAGTCATACGCAGTTGCCATCCGCACGCAAGGAAGTAAGCACAAGATGCCGAAAACCCTTAGCAGGATGCAGCGCATCCTTCATGCGACTCGCCGAATACCTCACGGCGCTTCGCGCTTGGTGATGTGAGAGGCTGGTCCGGTGAGAACCCAGCGTGCTCCGTCCCGGCTTTGTAGGGATACGAGGTCAATGGTGTAACGACTACGGCATGCACGACTATGGGTACACCCTCCCCACGATATCAGCAGTAGTACTCACGGGCACGTCTAGTCCTCCGGCTATTCTCACTGCTTTCTTGACCCCCTCCAGGCACAGTTCGATCAGCTCAGGGCTCTCCGAGGCTTCCAACACCTAACCGCACGTACGCCGAGACACAGAACGAGAGAACAAATTTGAGACCGTGAGAGGGGAAGAGAGGGATGGAGCATGGCAGAGACAAGGAGGGTAGGAGCGTGGGGGACGCATGGAAGGCGAGGAGAGGGCTGGAGAATGAGAGAGACAGGGGCGGCAGGAGTATGGGGGGAGGCAACAGAGAGAGAGAGAGAGAGAGAGAGAGAGAGAAACCAACCACTGGTACCCCTCTCTACCGGGGCGTAGGTAGCATGTGTGACCGCGGGTGACACATCAAACACCAAAATAAAAGGGACAAACACATCATGCTTCACACATACACACAGAGATAAAACCTCCATGTTCTAGAACCTGGCCAGTGCGCGTCATCCATCGACCATGTTGTTCTTGGTGCAATCGGGTGCACTCTTCGCGCGGGCCACATCAGATGCTTGGCACATGTACCCACACCACCGAGGGCACCCGACTGTACACGCAAGGCTAGCATTTACGAAAGGGTTGTAACCCTATCGTGAGCGAAAACTCTTGCCGCAACACCTACCCACCCACCTCGCTGAAGACGGACACGAGCGGACCCCAGGTGATCTCGTGCATGAGCCGCACGTGCTCCGCGATGTCCTGGGACATCCACGCGCCGTCCCCTTCCCCCCCGCCCTCCATGGAAAGGTGCGTGTAGCTGTTCTGGATTGACGAGCTGTGGCCCCTCTGTCTCGTTAGCAGCGCTCGAGAGGACTGATGGCCCGATCATCATCATCATCATCATCATCATCATCATCATCGCCATGGTTTTTGTTGTGGTTTGGTTCGCGGGGAGAAAAATGTAACCAGGCCGGTCGTCGCAGCGTGGTTCATCGATTCATCCAGTGGTGCGACGAGGAAGGGTCAGGGGGGAGAGAGGGAGATGGAGGGCGGCACAACGACGAGAGAGGGTGAAGGAAGCGGTCAGCAACCCAGAGACCTCCACCTCTCCCAATAAAATCAAACGAATGGCACAATTTGGAGAATTTCAGAGGTACTCTCCCCAAGGCGGCACCGCAATCAAGGCATCACCAGTACGGTCAACATCACAACGCACTCGCTCTGCCTACACCACAGAACACCACCCAGCGGAGCGCCACAAGCCTAAAAAAAAAAACATGAAGCTCCACGACAACACGGTGAACAGAGCAGTGAGCGCCAAAAAAGCATCGGACTTGTCTCCATCCTCGTCCCAAAATGAACGATGAACGGCGCATGGCCAAGCGGCCAAGACAAGCAGAAACGAGGACCCCCCCCCCCCCCCCCCCCCCCCCCCCCCCCCCCCCCCCCCCCCCCCCC